GTAACAATATAAATGCAATCACTGAGATATAAAATTGCAATAACAAGAATAAAATACCTATTGACCCAATTTTTTGTTTTTGTTTGGGATTCTAAGGATATGAATCCATAATAAAACCTGGAGATGATGAAAACATGTTATCTTCAATTCAGTCTGAACATTTCAAAGTTGCAATGCAGTTATCATGATCTGTAAAAAAAACTTTCACTAACTAATCATCATACAGGCTTCAGATTTTGTACAGTTCATGAAATTTTTCAACAGAATCCTAAAATTGAATTCAGAAAGGAAGCTATGTCCACATCAAAATACTAGTACACACATGTGAATGGCCTTGAGTGATTACAACACTGTGATACACTGTGATAAAATGTTCAATGGAAGTTGTTTAATATATATCACAAAGTGGAAATGCAACTTTTATTGGGTTAAAATTATCAAAAATAAAATGTATACCAGATCATATACTGTAAAATACTTTATTTTTGCTATTTTCGGTGATGATTCCGTGAAAATAAAATCAATCGAGTATACCTTCTTCACTATATTTCACATTCAACTCATCAAAAATCAGTGAAAATAAATTCCATACAAAAAACCCAAAAAGCCTTTTCAGCGAAAATTAATTCCAGCATAAATTAAGTATTTTACAGTATTTTGATGTAAATTATGTCTATTCTGGACAGAATCTCAGTTGGACAGTATTGACTCAGTATTGGGAAAGGTGACAAACTAAATGATTATACAACATCAGTTTGCCCCTGTAGAAGAATACTATTGCCTATTACATTTATCAAATTGATTTGTATTGTTAATCACTAAAATTTTGAAAGTTTATCACAAAGAAACTAAATTTGCTAGATTAGGATAGATGAATGTATGATACCATTGTGGGTTGGGGACATTCTAGGATACTATCAATTAATATAACAACAGTGAATTGGATGATGACAAAATAACAAAAAATAATTACATGCTATAAATATTCATGACAAATAAGTAATATTTTAATTATTCGGTATATATATATGCAATACTATTGGAGAGGTGCTTATAACCGAAGAAGGTATTATCTTCCATGTTCTGTAGCAAATAAGGTACTTGCTTCATAAAGCTGAATGAAATAGCATGAGTTCCAGGGAAAAACACAAGCCAGAATTTTCATGAAACACACACAAAAATTACATTATGGTAGATATTCACTAAATGGTTTACTTACAGTACAAAGATAAGTACTCTTGACATGATCTCTGTCACCAACAACCTCTTAAGAAGAAACAAAACAGAAAACTGTTCTTTTGGAACAAGATGACATAACACAAGTGTCAGTCACCCTGAACCAACAACCAATCAGGTCTACTCAGAAAGGTAATTTGATACATTGTTTTCTTAGAAGGATCACTGGTTGTTTACATTGATACCATATGGTAGTGCCAAGTAGTACACCAGTCAGGTACTGGCAGGTTAATTATGATAAATATCTAAAAATGTACTTAGGAAAATGGGATAATAATTAATAGACTAATTTGATTATAGGAATTTTGAAAAAATATAATATACTCAAAAAAATAACTTGAAATCACTTCAACTAACCATGTACTTCTTTGGAAGATGTTGTCTGCATATTTGCCATAAGGGTCAGAGGTCATGATTGCACATACAAATACTGTTTTTAGTACTGTAAGTAAGCTGATATCTGAATGTATATATTATAAATTTAAGAGTAAAGTTAAATTTAAAGAGGCTAGTCAATATGCAATGGGTTAGCTCAAATAATAGAAAGGGAAAATTTAGATTTTAAGCACAGTCCCTCTATCCTGTGTTTTAAGTTATTGTTAATTTGTAATGAACAAGTCATCAATGGTGCATGTGGACAACTTCCTGTTGTTATTTATCTTTATCTTCCTAAGCAGAGCTCATCCCTCTCTTGTTCATATAATCATGGTTGTTATTAATCCTTATTTGGAATACTGTGGAATACTTTATTTTCGCTGGAATTAATTTTCGCTGAAAAGGCTTTTTGGGCGTTTTGTATGGAATTTATTTCTCTGATTTTTGATGAGTTTAATGTGAAATATAGAAAAAAAAGTATATTCGCTGGATTTTATTTTCACGGAATCATCCTTTCAGTGAAAATAGCGAAAATAAATTCTGAGCAAAAATAAAGTATTCTACAGTAGTTACAAGTGAGGCAAGACCACCCATGGACTAGGCCATAGGGTGTATTGGGTTTCATATGACAGGTGCAGATCTCTCTTCAACTTTTTCTATTACATTTTAATGATTGCAACAGACCATAAGGGAATTTTAATGAGTCAAGATAAACTATCAAAAACCATAATAATCATCCCTCCATAAAATTAATGCATATTAGATTTAGAGTCAATTAAATGTGAGACAATCAAGTGGATTTGAAAGATGAAAAAATTGAACTACTGCTCCTCCCACCAATTAACAGGAGATGATCTCCAATGTGTTCATATGATCAGAAGGCGCATGACAGCCGAGATCTGCCATAGTTTGATTCAGTTCAGAACGGAACATTGCCCTCAAATAATTAGTATGAAAAAAACATGACTGAAAACAATGTTGTTGTCGTGCTTGTGTTGTTTCTTTACATGGCACGATTCTGTTGAGCTGGGAGAAAAAAAGAAACAGTCACGATAGAGTCTGAGCATGGAGGTAGAAAAGACAATACACTGGAACACAGTCCCTCTATGGAAACACAGCAGCTAATATGTGTTACAGCCTATTGTTATTGTTCAATTGTTGTGATATGTGTTACAGTTGTCAATCTAAACCATAGACACTATAGTCCTACTATACTGTCTATGTCTAAACCTACGAGGAACATGTCACCTTACCGTGACCGCTTTTACTATTTATATCTCTGGTGTCTTTAAAAAGTTTCTTCAATTTTCATTGGATCCGTTCCGTTCCTTGACCTGTCAATCTATTGCAGTATTTTGCAGTATTTACTCTTTCTGAAATTGCGTGAAGTTACAAACGATGTTGCCTCCACCATAATTGAAATGAGAGGTTACTTGAAGACGACGATTGAGGGTGTGATTTGGGCCCTGTGTATACACGGTCGGGGCCATGTCACGGGGCTCAACCTTATCGGAGTTCAACCCCAAGGGTTTATTGGAGCCGAACTTGGCTCGAGTCGAATGCGTATACACGACCATATTTGCTGGCTCAAGCCGTAGGGCTCCGATAAAATGCTGTTGTGTGAACGTAGCAAATACGGCATGTGGGGGCATAGTAAATCCCACAAACAGCTGTATTTGAGAAGATTCAACGCATGTATATAGTGCATCCTGCAATTGTTGCTATTGATGGGTAAGATAAGAAACACAACAACTGAATATATTTGGGATTAATATTTATTATCTAAGCAAATATATTATTTAAAAATAATAAAATCATAAACATAACGTATATTTCAGAGAACTCAAGATACAAATCCAGTTTTACACTTCTGCAGTTTGGTCAGAAATTTAGATATTTCTGAAGTGGAGATGAGAAGTACCGGTAACAAAAATGTTGATTTTAAATATTAATCACATCATTGCTTCGAAAGACAAAAGATAAGTATTAGAATCAAGAATATATTATCAACAAGAATGAAATAAAAATGAATTAATAATACCCTGTAGGGTAAAAAAAATCAGAGATCCATGAATGAAGAGATACACCATTACATATCATGTCATATAATACTTGTATCTGCATATAGTTTGAGTGAGTTTACAGATGAGGTTGGAGGCGATAGACATTTGCGATGAAAGGTTGACCGAAAGTCTGTGATAAACCATGTTATTGTAGTAAATCTAAATGTTGAAAGATCAATGCAAGTTGCTGTAGCTACCATTTCTTGCCTCTCCTCTGTTTGGCAGCTTTCTTTATTCTTCTGAGAGCATCTTGATGACGTTTTCTATAATCCTACAATGAAAATTAAAATAAATCCAATACTAGTATTTCAGGCATTATAACCAGCATGAACTGTGAATTGTGGGTGCATTTTCTTTCAAGTTCTACTAACTAACTAACTGATGCAGTGGAATTAAAATTCACCCACAATTATTGGTAGACAAATTAAATAAGACATTTATTGTATAATATACCGGTATATTATTATACATCTGTCACCGTAACGCCATAAGTTACAGCATGCCGTAATTTTG